CTCTCTCCCCCCGCCACCATTTTTATCCCGAACCCACCAGCACCCAGACGAGCTCTCGCTGATATTGCGAAGTTTCTCTCTGATCTCTCTCTCTGTCTCGGTGACAACGATGATGATGATGATGGAGAGCTACGGGGGAGAAGAGAGGATGGTGTTGACGGCGGAGACGGAGGCGGGAAAGGCGGTGCCGGCGCCGTTCCTGACGAAGACGTATCAGCTTGTGGACGATCCGACAACGGATCAGATCGTGTCTTGGGGAGATGACGACTCCACTTTCGTCGTTTGGCGTCCTCCTGAATTCGCCAGAGATCTCCTCCCTAATTACTTCAAACACAACAACTTCTCCAGCTTCGTCCGACAACTCAACACCTACGTACGTGTGTGTATATATATGTATATGTCTGTACACTCGTACATATGTGTTTATGGGTCTTGTGTATTTTGCTAAATAAGGGCAAAAGTTTGCATCTTTATGAAAAATATCGTATGGGTCTTCTTCTTCTTCTTCTTGAAATAAGTGTTCTTGATTCTTTTCCCTTCAATATATATAATTATTTCTTTATTGAGAAAGCCATATTTGCATCACATGCTCCATGTATCATGTGTATATATATAGTAATCTTTTGCATTAATTTGTAATTTATTTTTTGGGGTTTTAGGGTTTCAGAAAAATTGTTCCGGACAGATGGGAATTCGCAAACGAGTTCTTCAAGAGAGGAGAAAAGCATCTACTCTGCGAAATCCACCGGAGAAAAACGGCTCAGTCGCCGCCACCGTCGCAACCGCCGTTTCACCACCACCAATCGGCGCCGATCCCCTTCGCCGGAGGCCCCTCCTTCTTCCCCTTTCAGCCACGTGTCACCCTATCTACAGCCGCAGATGACGTGGATCTCTCGGGAGCTTACTGGTGCGACCCTCCGCCACCGCGCCACCACCACCACCACAGCATCACCAGAAGCGGAGACAATTCCTCCGCCGCCGCCGCGTACGACCGGAAAGTCACGGCCTTGACGGAAGACAACGAGAGATTGCGGCGGAGCAACAGGCTACTCATGTCGGAGCTCGCTCACATGAAGAAACTCTACAACGACATAATCTACTTCGTTCAAAACCACGTGAAACCAGCCACGCCGAGCAACCCGTGCCCTTCCTCTCTTCTTATGAAACATCAGAAGCCCTCCTCGAACGAATCCATCGACTATTACAAGACATCGACGTCGCGGAAGAACAACCTCAATATCCACGTCATGAACTCTTCTTCCTCTCCAACGAGCAACACATCTCAGAGCTCCATTACAGCCATCGATGACAGCAACAACGGCAATGAGAGTGACAATGATAAGAACAACGGGGAGATCCGCCATGAAAGTACTTGCAGAAGGACGAAGCTTTTCGGTGTCTCCATACCCTTGATGAAGAAGAGATCGCATCAGTCGGATCATTTAAGGGTTGACCAGACGAGAAAATCTCGATTGGTTTTGGAGAAATCCGATCTTGGATTGAACCTCATGACACGTTGATGATGATGAGTTCATTATCAGTCATGTCACTTAATTACCCTTTTTCTGTGAACTTATAATCATCAGTATTATCGAAGGTTATGATCATATGATATATAATATGGATCATAATATTCACAAAAATCTTATGTTTATTTTTTATCCTAAGCTTTTTTTTTTCAATGTTCGTGGAGATGAGAATGTCAGAGAGGCAGTGTCCATGTACATAGGCTTTTAGGTCACTTTCTGTATTTCAAAATTTTCATGCGTATCGGACCGATCCAGTAATGCAGTCAATGTCTCTTTTGTTTTTGTTCTTTTCTCCGTTTTTCTTCTTTTTGGTTCGATCCACGTCATCTTTTTTTAATTCTTTTACTCTCTTTTTTTCGTGTTATATATATATACACACACTCTATTTTTCGTGAATTATTGAAGAATAAATTTAGAAAAGAAATTGCTAATCAGTATAAATCCCCTTTATTATAAAGTATACATGGTAGTTTTTGATATAGGTGGGTGTTTCGGTATTCGGTTCGGTTCTTTCAGTTTTACAAAATATGTATCAATCGGTTATTATATAATATTCGATTTGATTTGGTTTCAATTGTGATTCGGTTTGGTGCCGTTTTTATTAAAAAATCATATCTTTTTATAAAAAAAAATTGGTGTTTCGGATTTTTTCAAAATTCGGTTTGTTTTTCAAAAAATCGATTTTTCTAAAATTAATACCATTCATAAATTTTAGACGATTCAGATTGGAAAAAATACCATATTTTTTTGTTCGGTTAACTTTCACCTCTAGCTTTTTTTTTTGGGTAAAGGCCCACCCCTAGTCCTCGACAGCACTAAAAACGGGAAGTAATTGGTCTTGAACATATTTAGGATATTGAGAATTCCCCCGACTGTATTCTCTTTTGGACACAAAACATCTGCACATTAAATGTCCGTACAATTTCATATTGTGTTTTTTAAAGGAATTTTGAGTTATGTATGTAAAGTAAGAAATCAACTAAAATTTAATTTAAAGAGATCAAGAAATGGATAAAATCGAATAATTAAACGATAATCCGCTGGAAGCCCACTATCGGTGTAATAATTGTCATCATTATTAGTATTATTTTCGAAATAAAGGGCAAAGGGATGAAAAAAGTAATGGAAGTTGGCATTCGTATACGAGAAATTTAAAACGTCGGGATCTCGTGTGATTAGTGTCCATAGCTTGTTATTGCCAATAATATTATCACCATCCATGCAATAATTCCACTATCATCATCATCATCATCATCATCATCATCATTCCATCATCATCATCATAACGATGTTATCATAGATACGTCTATGCATCATGTGACCAGTGACAACTTTTAAAAAAAAAATCATATAACCAATGGTTTTTCTGAAAATTGATTTTTTTTTTTAATTTTGATGATTCGATCACAAACAAAGTTGGCAATTTAGACGGAATGAAGAACAACTATTATAAATTGTACAATTATAAGATATATCTAAAAAAAATATAACCGCGAATAATAATAAAGGTAAAATTAATTTTACCCACGGATCATTCAGTAATGTTATTTAAAATTTGACAAATTTAAAAATTATTTAATTATAAAAATGGGGCCTGTAACCCAATTAGTCCGCGCCCGGTAACACAGGCAACATATATTCGAGCCTTTTCCACTTGGGCCGTACAATTTAGGCCCATTCAAGGCCCAGTAATTACGTGTCCCACATCGGCCAGCATTAACACAAACGGAAAGGAATACCCTTCTATTTAACGACTCGAATTGACTGTATGAAAGTTACTGAGCCGTGCGGTAAGCCCAAAGCGAACTATTCTTTCGCCTTTTACTAAAGAATACCGTGTGCTCTCCGCATCCAGCGGCATACGCCTATTTTTGGAGGGGACATTTGCTCTTTTAGAGCTTCAGGCCCCAACAATTCTCGTTGAGACATTTAAAACTTATTAATAATTTATTCGTTTAAAAATTAAACATATATATATATATACTTATCTTCCAAATGTAACCACCAACAATTAATAGGATATTATTAAAAAAAGCCACCAAATAGAAAATGTTACATATGTTCTTGTTGTGGTTAGGGGTGGACAAAATAACCGAACCCGAATAATCGAACCAAACCCGATCGATAAATATCCGAACCGAATAAAATTAAATAACCGTTTGGTTATGATTTTTTAAAATCCGAAATAACCGAACTCGAACCAAATCGATTAAAAATTATTAACCGTTTGGTTATAAGTTTTTATAAACCAAATTAACCGAATCCGAACCCGAACCAAACCGAAATGTTTATATATCTTCATTTATATATATTTTTATATATATATGAATGTTTATATTCTTGATTTAATCATTGTTTTATTATATTTTAAATGTATTTTATCATTGTTTTTAAAGTTTGTGTGATATAAACATTAGAAAAAAATATCTTTATTTATTTAATAGTTTTATATCAAAATATAAA